CGGCTCTAAGGTGAGGCAAGCAAGGTGCCTCGGATGGAAGATTTAAGGAGGCACTCACTCTCAGAGTTGTGCAGGGGCAGAGTTGGCACTTAGATGAGCATGAGAGTGAGTGCCTCCTTAAATTTTGTGATCCAGGCTTCCTAGTTTGCCTCACCCTAGACCTGGCTGTGGTCCACACAAAGACTTGTACTCAAATGTTCACAGTAGACAGCTTAATACAGATAAGCTAGTAACAACCCAAATCTTTATCAATAGGTGAATTGTAAACAAACTGAGGCCTATATAGCAGGAAGAAACTACCGAAACATGCAAAATCATGGATGAATCTCATTACACTAAATGGAGGAAGCTAGACACAGCAGACTACGTACTACATGATCCTATTTATATAAACTTATAGAATGAGCAAAAACTAACCTAGTGACAGCAAATCAGTGGTTGCTTGGGATGTGGCATGGGACTGACTACAAAGGGACACAAGAGAGCTTTCTGTGGTGATGCTAATATTTACACCTTGACGGGGATGGTGGTCACGTGGGCTTACACCTTTGTCAAAAGCCATTACCTGGACAATTAAAATGCGTGAACTTCATTGTACATAAATTATACCTTGAAAGGTTAATCTAAAAATCTTAAAGAGATTACCAGACATCTGAGGAAAAACCTCTAAGAGAGAAGTCAGAAGAATGATCAAATGCACAGACACACGAAAGCACTTCAGAGGACACTCTGCAAAACCTAAATGCACAATCAGATATCCTCAGAGACGTTAGATATTGCAATAAGAAGAATGAAATAAGAACAATGCGCTTTAAAAAAAAGAGTGCTCTGGGGGCCAGCCTCGTGGCTGAGTGGTTAAAGTTCTACACGCTGCACTTTGGCTGCCCAGGTTTGCAGGTTCGGATCCTGGGCGCAGACCTACACGCTACTGAGCCATGCTGTGGTGGCATCCCACATACACAATAGAGGGAGACTGGCACAGATGTTAGCTCAGGGCCAATCTTCCTCAAGCAAAAAAGAGGAGGATTGGCACTCTTCTTAGCTCAGGGCAAATCTTCCTCATAAAAAAAAAAAGAAAAGAAAAAAGAATATTCTGAGAAAAAAAACCCAGCTCTTGGAATTAAAAATATAATAACACAAATGAAGAATCAAATAGAAGAGTAAAAAGATAAGGATAAGGAAATTAGTTCATTTCCTTAATTAATAAATATTTATTGAGTATCCGTGTGCCGGGCACTGGGATACAACAGTGAACAAAACAGACAAAAATCCCTGCCGTCGTGAAGCTTACGTTTTAGGCAGGGGAGACAGACAACAAAAATAACTAAGTAAGTAAAAATAGCTAAGTTATATACGTATCATGTCAGCAGACGTATCTGCTATGGAGGAAAATAAATCAGGAAAATGGGAGAGGGATTCTGGGGGCAGATGGAAGGGGTTGCAGTCTTTACAGTCAAGGAAGGTCCCTCTGAGGAGGTGACATCTAAAAAAAGACCTAAAATAGATGAGGAAAGAAGCCATGTGGACTTCTCTGGGAAGAGCATTGTGGGCAGAGGGAACAGCATGTGTTAAGGTCCTGGGGTGAAAGTGTGCCCAGCCTGTTTGAAGAATGACAAGGAGGTCAGTGTGACTGAAGCAGAGTGAGCTGTGGGAAGAGAAATAGACTAGGTCTGAGCAATAACAAGTGGGTGAAAATTGTGTGGAGTTCCACGAGCCATTTTAAGGGTTTTGGCTTTTCTTCTGAGTGAGATGGGAAGATATTGGAGGAGTGTGAGCAGAGGAGTGCTGTGATTTGACTTGGGTTTGCAAGGATACTTTGTGTGTTAGGTTCCTATAGGCAAGGGCAGAAACAGGGAGACAGCGGGGAGGCAGTTGCAGTCACCCAGGATCAGAGTATGATGACCTGGACAAGAGTGATGGCGGTGAAGGTGGTGAGATGCGATCAGCTTGGAAAATTTTTTTTTTTTTTAAAGATTTTATTTTTTCCTTTTTCTCCCCAAAGCCCCCCGGTACATAGTTGTGTATTCTTCGTTGTGGGTTCCTCTAGTTGTGGCATGTGGGACGCCGCCTCAGCGTGGTCTGATGAGCAGTGCCATGTCCTTGCCCAGGATTCAAACTAACGAAACACTGGGCCGCCTGCAGCGGAGCGTGCGAACTTAACTACTCGGCCACGGGGCCAGCCCCGCTTGGAAAATATTTTTATGGTAGACTGGAAATGTCAGGGGGTTGGAAGTGGGTATGAGGGAGAGGAGACAAACCCTTTGGCCTGAACAACAGGAAAGATCGCGTTGCCTTTTACTACATCAGGAAGATAAAGGCAGGAGCAAGCTTTGATGAGGAGCAAAGGGAGACCCTTGTGTGTGAACTTCCAAGGGAAAGTCCGATAGGCGCTGAGATGCTTGTGAGAGGGGAGGGGTCCAGCTGGGACATAAAAATGTGGCAGTGTCAGCGTATTGAGGGTCCTCAAGCCAAGAGACTAGATGAGATCACCAAGAAGCTAGTGTAAATAAAAATGAGAGGAAATCCAAAAATCGAGCCTAGGGGAGGACAGAAAGATGACTAGGAACTAGCAAAAGGAACTGCAAAGTCGGCCAGTGAGTTAGGGAAAACCAAAAGTGTTGTCCTGGAAGCCAAGTGAGGGAAGTTTTTCCAGGAGGGGATGACCACGTACTTAATCATCTCGCCACACCCGCCATTCACCAGCACACAGTTAGTAAAGCAGGAGAGTGGGGAATACCATCAAAGAGCAGAGCACACGCAGGAGCCCAGCTCCCTGGGGAAACTGAACCAACCCCAGCCCGGGTCATGGGTGCTGTGGCCAAGTGGTGAGATACAACATCCCAGCGCACCTATAGCTTTGGGCAAGTGACTTGAGCTCTCTGAGCCTCTGCTCCCTCGTCTCTCAGCCAGGAGGGTCTAACGGGTGTCAGAACGTTTGGTACGCTGTGGATCAACATGCCCATGTGAGAGATGATTCTCGTTGCTCTCACTGTTGACGTTTCCGCGGAGGGGGCAGGCGTGGTTAACACGAGGGGAACGTGCTGTTTCACCTCTGTGGATCCTTCACTCAGGAACCAGGGTTGTTCAGCCTGATGAGGATGGGCAGGGTGGACCTACAAATGCCCCAAAGGAAGGAGGATTCCTGTCCTGGGTGTGGCAGAGGGACCTCAGGAGAAGTGATGACAATGATAACAACTCCAGTTGACTGCATGTTGCTGTGTGCCAGGCCCTGTTCTAAGTGGTGTACAAGCTCATTTACTCCCCAAACAGTCTCTGAGGTAGTTATTTATAATTTTACTGAATAGATGAGGAAACCGAGGCAAAGAGACATGAGGCAAGGGGATTTTGTGCCCAAAGTTCCACAAGAAAGTCAGTGATAAAGCCAGGAGTCAAGCTCTGTCTAACCCCAGAGCCAGCGCTCTTAAAAGACTCATAAGTTGAGGGACTGGCCCCGCGGCCGAGTGGTTAAGTTCGAGCGCTCTGCTTCCGACGGAAGCCCAGGGTTTCGCTGGTTTGAATCCTGGGCATGGACATGGCACCTCTCATCAAGCCATGCCAAGGCGGCATCCCACATGCCACAACTAGAAGGACCCACAACTAAAAACACACAACTATGTACCCTGGGGGCTTTAGGAGAAAAAGGAAAAATAAAATCTTTAAAAACAAAAAACAAAAAAAGACTCGTAAGTTGAAACCAGTTTTTTAATAAACTAAGTCCGTACTTGTACATTGTGAGTCTAAGCATCTTGCTTCTTTCCTTTCCCCTTCTTTTGTCAACACCTGTCTGCTCCTTCCTGTGTTTCCTTTTCCTTCCCCTTTATTTTCTTTTCCTTCTTTCTGCATGCTTAGACACAAAGGGATCCTTCCAGGGATCCTTCTTTAACTATAGATTGTCAGAGCTAGCAAGCCCCCAGGGGTCAGTGAGTCCACCTCACCCTCAGGTGGAGAAACTGAGGCCTGGAGACGGGGAGGGTTGCACCCAGGGTCACACACATCATGTGTCTCTTTGCTCTAGCTTCCGAGCCCCTGGCCCCCACATCATACAAAGGTTACAAAATAGCAGACATAGAATGATCACATTTTGTTAAGAAAAAAAGAAAAAACAAGGTGTATATACACACAACGCAGTCTCTGGGTTCATATCTGAAATACATGAATGTAAGATAGTGTGATATAAAAATGTCAATAAAGTTCCACTTCATATGCAGAATTTAGAGTATTTAGAAAATCACCCAAATTAAAATTTCATGAGGTATCCCATAATAGCCAGACTGATGCTCAGAGAGTAAACTGTAAATTGGTAAATTGTGCTACACTAAATTTACACTATTGGTAAATTGTGCCATACGGTGGCCACTTTGGCTGGGACGCAGAAGTGCCCACCCACTGTTATCAGAATCCAGAGAGAAATGCCCTTGTTCACATGGAACTTCTGTGGCTGGTGTGAGTACTTATTAGCTGTAGTCTAAGCAATCATTGTTAGCATTATTTAAAATATTCTATAAACCCTAACAATGTAATTCAAGAATTCATTAAGGGGCACAAGTGCTGAAAACATGAATTTAAAAGTCCTTCATTTGGAATGGAACTTAGAAGAGAGAAAATTGCCGTAAAGAAGGCCAAACTCGATCACGCCGGGACATGCTGATGGCTAATGAGAGTGCATCCCGTACAGTAAATCAGCAGCAGGGTTGAAAGGAAAGGCAGCCTGGGAAGCAGGGAGCCCGCTCAGGGGACAAACATCCACTCAAATACTGCAGATAAAGAGCTGGTGCCAGGTCAACACACGCCACCTGCCTCTGCGCCAAGCTGTTGTGATTTTTGGTGACTAGGAAGTAGGTAATGATGATGAAACGTTTTACCACTAGTATTTCTGTGGTAAACAAAGTATGTTTAAAAAATATATTTATGTTACAAAGTTAAGAGACTTATGCTCTCTGAAGTCCCAGAGAAAAATTTTGCAAGCTCTTGCAAAGCTCATCCTTGTGCAAATCCAATAGGACTGCTCAGCCACCAATGCCAACACACCGATGCCCGGGAGCGTGCGAGAGGGATGGCAGACTCGGCCGGGACACAGAACTGGAAGGCATATGTGAAAAGATGCCAAGGAGTGCGTCAGTCTGAGGACCTGAATTAACCTGCGGGCAAGATTGCAACAACAGGAGTGTCAACGCACGTAGGTGAGACCCAGGTACACTCCTTGCAAGCAAATGCTGCTCACCCAGAAGCACATTGAAAGAACAGGCTTTAAACATATTATATGGCTTTAATGTAAGGGAGACTTCCCACTGGTGTGTGATGGCCAGTGGGGCACCAGAAATGGGCTATAGGGGCTGAGACATTGATCCTCTCACCCCTTGGAGCAGCCAGGTGGGTCCCGAGGTGGCTGGAGCTCCTGAGACAATTTCCTCCAGTTGTGAGCAGGCTTGTTTTTTAATCCCGAGGATCTATAAAGTGTTATCCTTTTCTACATGTGTTGTGGTATAGAAAAGCTTGGAAAGCACTGGAGAAGTAGGGTGTTCATATGATATTTTGTGTAAATGGAGACATTTTTGAGGATGAAAGGGGCTGTATTAATATGTACGCCAGGACCCCAGGCATATAGTGGGACTCTTCTAGGTAAACCGGGATGTACGGCGGAGGAGCAGGTTAATCCCCCCAAAGACATTTACGTCCTAGTCCCCACCCCCTGTGAATGTGTTACCTTAGATGGCAGAAGAGACTTTGCAGGTGTGATTAAGTTGAGGATCTTGGGGTGAGGAGATTATGCTGCATTATCTGGGTGGCCTGATGTCATCACAAAGGTTCTTATAGGAAGGAGGAAGGAAGGTCAAGAAGAAGAAGATGCTCTTCTGCTGACTTCGGAGATGAAGGAGCCACAAGCCAAGGGAATGGGGGAGGCCTCTAGGAGCTAGAAAAAGGAGGAAGCAGATTCTCGCCGGAGCCTCCACAAAGAAGGCAGCCCTGCCAACATCTTGACTTTGGGACTTCTGTAAGGTAATCAATGCGTGTGGTTTTCATCCACTAACTTTGTGGTGATTTGTTACAGCAGCAAGAGGAAACTAACACAAACACTATTTATAATTTATAAGAAGATTGTCTTCATGCTTATATAATTTTAAAAGGTACAAAGGTAAGTAATAAAGAGCTGAAGCAGTGGAATAATTACATTGAGAGGAAGAGTGAGCTAGTAGACAGGTGTAAATTTTCATCTAACATCGTGTTGATCAGTGGAAAAATATCATTAAAGTATATTGCATATAGAGATAGAGGACTAAAACAAAAAACTGATTTAAAAAAATCGATAGCCCCAGAAAGAGGAACTTTGAATGGAGAAGGTCAGATAAGGAGAGTCTACCTTTTTATTATAAATCTTTTCGTTAAACAGATTGAAAGTGTAAGCGTGGGCATGTATTTTTTAATGTGAACCTTAATTTTTAAAGTAAGATTGTGTTGGGAGAAGCCCCAAGCGCTTCCTGGGCTCAGGTTCTCCGGAGCTCTAGTCCGCACCCTCCCTGAAACCTGGTTACAGCTTCCACCTCGCCCACAGACTCTCCTCTAACCTCTTACTCAGCCAGCAGTCTCTTTGCTCTCAGTCTTGGCTCCAGACAGGGCCAACTGGTGGGACCCCCTGAAACAAGGCAGGAGAAGGCACCGTTGGATGAGGAGCGTTCCCAGGATAGGGCCAGGCGCTTTAGGAGACCTGGAGTAAACCCACAAAGCCCCATCTGTAGGGAAGGCAGACCTTGGGGTTACCTCACAATGGTAACAAAGAGCCTGGGAGAGTGTGAAGAGAGAACGCCTCCTGCTGTCACTGAAAAAGCCCTGCTGTAGGAGCCCAAAGGGAAGGGCTGAGACCAGCTCTGCCACCGACCAGCAAGTCCCTTTCCATCTGGGCTTCGGATTCTCACCCAGGAAACGAATGGGGGAGGAAATTCATCTCTCATGTCTTCCAGCGCTGTGAGTCCTTCTCTCCGCTTCAGCTACATTCCTCCTTCCAAGATGACTGGGTGGGTCCTAGGCCAGCCAGCAAATCATTATATATCACACGTTAGAGCTTCTTTGAGATGGTCGGCTGCAACCTATTCATTTTACATATGAGAAACTGAGCCTCAGAGAGACAAAGGTTTTCGTTCAAGGTCACACTTGGTAACAAGCGTGAGAACCCCCTGGGTCTCCTGTGACCCCTTACTTGGACTCTACGGTTCTGTGATCACAATTTTCCATATGAAGGTACAGAATGGTACTGTTGTTTAATAGGCAAATAAATTGTGTCTGAGTTTTCCAAAAGTATGACAGAAGATGCCATTGTGGAGGAGAACATCATAATCACCATATAAAAAAGATGAGTGGTTATATTAGTTTTCAATGGCTGTGTAATAAATGACCACAAACTTAGTGGTTTAAAATGACACACACTTATTTTCTCGGTTTCTGTGGGCCAGGAGTTCAGGCATGGCTTAACTGGGTGGTCTGCTGACAGGAGCTCACAAGGCTGCAATCAGGAGTTGGCTGGGCTGCATTCTCATCTGGAGGCGCAACTGGCAAAGAATCTTCCTCCAGGCTCACTCGGGTTGCTGGCACAATTATTTTCCTTGCCATTGTAGGACTCAGCGCCCAGGTTCTTGCTGGCCCTCAGCTCCTAGCCATGTTGGCCTCCCAACATGGCCACTTACTTCTTCAAAGCCAGCTAGACTTTGAATTCTCTAGAGAGTCTGCTGGTAAGACAAAATCTTACACAACATAATGGAATCATGAAATGGACATCCTATCACCTTTGCCGCATTCTATTGGTTAGAAGCCATCACAAGTGCCACCCACACTCGGAGGAAGGGATATACAAGAGCATGAAAACCATGAATATCAAGGGAGGTGGCACCTTAGAGTCTATCCACCATGGCAGTGAGAATTTTAAGCGTAAAAACAACTGAAATTTCTACTCCTGTTAAGACAAATAAGAAGAGGACTAAGGTTTAGTCATTGGATTTGGCAATGGGAGGCATCACTGCCCTTGGCAAGATCAGTTTCAGTGAAATACAGTCACAGGCTGCTTAACAATGGGGACACATTCTGAGAAACGCGTCGTTAGGTGATTTCATCCTTGTACGAACATCACAGAGTGCACTTACACAAACCTGGATGGCACAGCCTACTACACACCTAGGCTATATGGTACTGATCTTATGGGACCACCGTCCTATACGCGGTCCTTCATTGACCGAAATGTTGTTATGCAGCACGTGACTGAAATGAGGTGAAACTCTGCTGGAGGGGATTCAAAAGAATGGAAAGTGAAAATTGGAGCATGTGAGTAGAGACAACTCTTTTAAGGAGTTTTGCTATAAAAGGCAGGAGAGAGATGAAAGATTAAAGATACTATGGTATGTTTATACATTCCTGGAAATGATGCAGTGGAAAGGGAAATTTTGATGATGCAAGAGAGAGGGAAGGATCATTCAGGAGCAAAGCTCATGAGTAGGTGAACGAAAGGGGATGAGATCCGGTGCACAAGATAAACGGACTTAAGACAAGATGAGGATGACTCAGCTTTGTCATGGGAGAAAAAGCCTAGTGTATGGATTCAGACACAGGTCAGTGGATGGATTTAGTGGCTGGAGGATAAGGAAGTTCTCTTCTATCACGTCTATTTTTCTCAATGAAATAAGAACAGTGTCATCATTTGAAAGTGAAAGGGGAGGGTAATGGAGGTTTGAATCAAGAGAAGAGACAGGAAATAGTCCTTTCCAAGAATGGAAGAGCAGCACAAAGAAGACAAGAAGTAGATTTGCCCAGCAGTGCTAGGACCCACCTGAGGTTTGTGTTCAGAAATTTAAAATGCAACCAGTTGGCAAATCTGCGCATTTTTATCTAGCCACATTCAACTGCTTGGATGTGGCCTCCAAGTAGATGGAGAGGGGCATCTAGCCAGCATTGTGGCTTTGCAGGGTGGATACAATACAAAGAGAGGGACAAGAGGGATGAGAGTGTGTGGCAGGGAGGGACTGCAAGGATTGGCCAGTCACTGGATGAAACAGGGAGTGAGGAGACGAAGAGCAGCGGATAGGTAGCAGGGTAGCATCTGTAGACGGGAGGCCCTGACGAGGTAAAGAACTGTTGGCATCGGCCAAGTAGTGGATGTGAGATGGACCAATAGGAGCTGGTGAGCCACCCAGAGAAGGCAATGCTTGCAACAGAGAGTTTGAAGGTGCTGCAGTTTTTGGTAATGACGAGGTCTAGGGTATGCTGGTGGGAGGTGTCTCTGGTAGGGTGGAGGACAAACTATTTTGGAAGCAAAGGAGGGCTGGAGTACAGGTGATTCATTTAGGGTGGCTAAAACCATGGAGAATGACCATAGTGAAATGGCGGAGACAGGGAGAGAGAAGACAGGGAGAGAGAATGCACTAGGTGGGGAGAGGGAGTGGCCCTGAGGGCTGTGCGGACTGCAGCCGGCACAGGTTCCCCTGGTTCGAGTTTCACAGGCACCGGCATTTTTAGAGAGGAGGGAAGAAGGCAACAAGGAGCTGGAATCCCTACGCTGCTCCAGGCCATGTGGCATGAGAGATATGAGGAAAAACAGCCCTCTCTTAGAGCTCTGCAGAGGAAGCAGAGACTCGGGGAAGTGGGGGCCATGGCGGAGGGAGCCACATTCCAGTTAGAGCAGGAAGGTGAGGAGAACATTCCATGCAGGGACTTCCCTCTTCCTCGGGATAAATTTTACACGAGTAACTGCTTTCTTGACACGCACTCAAGCCTCTTTTAATTTTCCTTCAGAGCACTATCATAGTTGAAAATCTTTACTTATTGCTGAGAAACTCTGATTAATATTCATGACTTCCAGCTAAGCTCCTGGAGCTCAGGGACCACACTGCCTGGAGCTGGTGGGTTCCTAGCACCCAGCAGAGCACCCAGAGCCTGGCTACTCCCTCAGTGTTTGCAGCAAGAAGGAAGAAGGGAAGAACAGACTGTTGGAGCAACTGCGAGGACTCTCTGTGTGAGTGGAGGAGAAGCCTGTTTATCCATCCTTCCATGCTCTTGGCCATCTGTCCTTCCTAAGGAGCAGAGCCTGTGTCCCTCCAGGCAAGGGGGCTGGAGCTATATTTAAGCTCCTGAGCCATGCTAAGGCTCAAGCAGCTGACAGCCGTGTCTTGCAGCTCCCACAAGCCAAAGCTATCCTTGCTGAACAGCTTTCAGCCCCTGTCAAAGTCACGGCTGCTCCCTACCCCTCACCCATCCAATGCTTGGAGCTGATGAGCAGGGTGTCCACCAGCCTGGAGGTAGGGGCCTCCACCAGCTGCCAGTCCCTGGCTGGTGCAGCCCCACGGAATGCCCCAGGGGCCCCCAGAAAGGGTTCAGTAACTCCTCCATCTGAGCTCCTGCTGCCAAGAGGAGGCCAGCGGGATCTCGTATGTATCCTTTCCTCTCCAACTGGAGCTCCTGGGCCTGAGATCTTATACTTAGAGACTTTGATGGCAATTTTTTCCTTCTTCTTTCCAGTCACTAAAGTAGGTAAATCTCGGCTCTTCTCCATTCTTGACAGACAGGCAAAGAGAAGTGTAGAGAAGTTGTGTTAGTGGCGAAGATAATGCTCCTTGAAGAGAATGCTTTGAATCTTAAGCATGTTCTTTATGGGTCCATTCATTCAACATGATCGAGCACCTGGGCATTGCGGGGCTACAGCAATGAACATGAGACGCCATCATGTCCCTGCTCTGAGGCTCTCACAGCCTAGGGAGGAGGAGATGTACACACAGAACTGAACTCCAGAGAGAAGAGCATGAGACAAGTCAGTGTTCTACAAGCATTCAGACAGGAAAGTGTTCTTTCCATATGGTGACAATGAGGAAGCCTTGTGTTAGGGGGGCATCTGAGCTAGTCCTTGGAGAAATGATGTTGCCTGTGAGGACACGCGTAAAGCATTATCTGCCTCCACTGAAGAAGACAGATCGAGCCTTCACCAGCAGAATCAAAGACTCCCAGGTCTGATATTGACCTGGGTC